GTAGTACCCGTAATTCTTATTGGATTCCAAAAACACCATTTATAATAAATTTTATTAATTTTTTTAGATTTTTTTAAAGGCCGAATCCGACCGATTCCCTATCTGAAACGCAGATTCGCCAATCTGGTGGGTTTTTGGGGTGCCTGATCCAAAGCACCGATCCATTTTTTAAACCACTGGTCCAAACATATCCACTCCATATTTGGCTGCAAGCACTTTACATTAAAGCTGCTCTTTACAGTGAATGCTTCGCCACCACCATTTACACATAAATGCATCATTCAATAGTAGCAATCTTCTCAGACCCAATCCACCTTCACCCTTAGGTATACAAACCTTGTCCCACTTAATAAGGTTATACTTCTTTTTTTCATCAAAAGAGCCCCACAAGAAATTCCGTATCATAAATTCAATGTGTCATGCATTGCCCTTGACATAAGTAGTATGGGCATCTGATATATTGGAAGGTTTGCTAAGTACGAACTTAGCAAGGTAACACAACCCCCTAAAGAGAGGTATCTAGGCTTCCAAAGATCCAACTTGAACTGTACTCTTTGTAAAACATCGTCCCATACAGCAATAGGCAAATTCTCAACTGAGATAGGTAAACCCAAATATTTGAACGGAAACACATCTACCATATACCCAAAACTCAATGTCCGATCTCGAACCACCCCATCATCACAATCCACTCCAATCATTGTTGTTTTACCACAATTAGCCTTCAACCCCATTATCACCTCACATCAAGTTAAGAATCTTTCAATATTATTAACTTAGACAATATCCGCATCACATAACAATAGAGTATCATCAGCATATTGAAGGTGAGAGATTCACATTCCATTTTGTACGACCTTAAAGCTTCTGAAGTTCCCCCTATCCCAAATTTTCTCATGCGTTATTATCATCTTCAGCAACACCAAGAATCACTAGGCTCGAAATATCATTATGTCTCCTTCGAGCACTAATAGTTGCATGAAAAAACTTTATATTATGATCCCCTTCTCTACGCCACTTCACCCTAGACCTCTGTTTCTAATAGATCTCTTCCAGCCTAAGTAAGTCATTCAGAGAGGACAATAATTATTCCTATTAACTAGATCAGCCTCAAAGATAAGTCATGTCAGTCAAATATCCTAATCCCAACTCTGGATATCTAGTAAGACTTGGTCAATTTTGGTTTTAAGTGATAACCAATTATCAGCTTTCCAAACTAACAATTTGTGTTTTATATTGAGGAGTTTTTTATGAAGCTGAAAATCAACAGAACCAAAACTAATTGAATTTTCCCAAGTGGATTGATTAAATCAATCACCCCAGGTTCATCTAACCATCCTAACTCCAACCTAAACAACTTCCTTCCACCAATGATCAAATTTGTATTAAGCAGCAAAGGAATATGATCAGATGAAAGTCTAGGTAATGCTTTCACAGTTGTCAAAGGGAAAGCTTCCATCCAATCTAGAGTCACAAGAAACCAATCCAACTTAGACACAATCAGGTTAGCCTCACTGTTATTGGACCAAAGTAAATTTGGCACCCGAAAGTGACAGATCAAAAAGCTGAAAGCACTCAATAAAGGAATTAAACATACGCATCATAAAATTGATGGATGTATTCGATGAGGTTTCATTCGGCCAACGAATGAAATTAAAATCACCACTAAAATAGAAAGGTAAATTATAAGAAAGCATAACATCACGCAAAGCATTTAGAAAGTCTTCCTGGAGTGCAGGCACTAAAGGACCATACACATTAACAAGTCCCCAAGAAACCCCAAAAGTAGGCTCCTAGAAAAAGATAGCCAAAAACCTATCCCCCTTAAAGACTTCAAAGCTATGAAGAGCTAGAGGGTCCCAAAGAACCCATAAACCCTCAGAGGCCCCAATAGCATCAACTCCCTCGAAATTTAATGCCCCATGACCCCAAATCTCCTTAACTACATCAAAAGTAGGAGCATTATACTTAGTTTCTTGCAAGATTAGAACATCAAGCCTATACTTTTGAATTAAAAGCTTAAAATCCTATGTCTGGTATCACATAAACCTCTAACATTCCAAGATAAAATAAGCATTAGGGATGAGAAAAAAAACCTGCCCCTCCACCAATGAACTAATGAAATCCCCGTTTTCAAATGCAGCTTCAGCGTCTTGAACACACTCGAGCAAGAGGAGTCATTGTCTACCACAACATCTTCATTGAATCTAATACACCCAAAATAATATTACTATATCATGTGTGGAATTAATGTACTTATGCATGTCTCTACGGATTATGACGGTCCATTTCATAGTAGACAAGTTACAATTAATTGATGTGTTTTCCTATAAAAATTTACTACACCCATACTCACATGATTACATTATAGTCTTCTAAACTCTTTGGCCACTTCAGTGTATATCAAAATGAAAAAGTTAAGAACATTTTAAAAAGAAAAAAAATGATTCCATGGTTCCTTATTAAGCAACCATCAAGTAATTCTTATAGTTTAAAATAATCTAATAATAATAAATATCAAATTAAATGTAATTCAAATTTTAGAAAAAAATATGGAAGTTTGTTTGTTAACATCCTATAAGCGTAAACCCCTGGACCGCTTCAATCAATATCATAATATACAGGTTCAAGAACTCTTATAACGAGAAAATTATTGCACCGCCTTTCATCGAGCAACCATCAAGTAATCCTTGTATTTTAAAACAATTTAATACTTAAGGAATAACAAATTTAATATAATAAAATTTTCTAATTTAAAATCGAATAAAAATTGAAAAAACATGGAGATCTTCTAGCACCCAAGCTATAAAAATAATTCTTAGACGATAACTCCATATTTTATTAAATCACCCTATTAGCTACCATAAAAATAGTCTAGATAATAAAACTAAAGTCTTCCAACACCAGAAAACCAATAAAATGAAAAAAAAAAAAAAAAAACAATTTCTCTCCGATACCAATAAATAAACAAAAAATAATAAAATTTTAGGGCCAAGAAAAAATGTGCACCCTCTCATTAACATATGGACATATCTTGTATAATTGTTGCCTATTATCCAAAAGAACATCAACATAAGACTAAGCGCTTAGAGCCAAGGAAACAGTATTGGCCGTCTATGGAAGGGACATTCATTTATATAGATTGGTTAATAGACAATTTTCTTTTTCTCTCTCCTCCAAAGTTTAAGAGGTTTAGAGAGATGGGTTTTTGATGTGGTCTCCATTGGACAAAGAGAAAAATTTGTGTCTTTCTTTTCTATGAAAAGACTGATAGAGAGAGATGCGTAAAGAGAGGTGAGAGGTGCATGGGAGAGGCATTTAAACATGTGTGAGAGAAGGAAAGTTGTTAATTTGTGTGACTTTAAATGTATAAAATATTAGAAGAGATGAGAGATATCCCCGTTTTTCTCCTAAAGTGTGTCCCCATATGGCTCTCATATTGATTACCAAAATAACCAAGAGATAGACTTATGTAACCAAATTAGCAAAATAGAGATACCTAACATTCTACTCATAGACGTTCTTTTTTTAAATATTGCTTTATTTATAAAGCACCTACCTTAACCTTTCTATAGGTACAGGATTTTTTTTAGTTTTGGGGTTAGTATTTACCTATTAACTCTGGTTTAATAATGTAGTATAGATATAGAGATATAGATACAGATGCCTGTGATTAAGTAAATTTTAATAAAAAAAAAAAACGGGAAATTGATAACCTACCTCACATGAAGTAGGAAACCAAAAATGGCAGTTGAACATGTGCACTTATGGATAGTTGACCTTTATCGATGATGCTGAGTGAAACTTTTAAGAGGGAACTCAAGGGTAAAAATCATTGATGCAAGAAATCAAAACAACTGTTCCCTCTCACCTTGATGCCATTAATCCCACTCACCCGCCCATTACTCAGGATCGGTTGGGAACTAATCCGATTCCCCCCCCCCCTAACAGCGAAATTAGGGAGATTTAAGAAAGGGAAAGTTTATATAAGGTTGCAACTTTAAAATGTAGAATTAAAGATGCATCTAAAAAATCCATCATAAAAGGTTGTTTGAAAATTGAAAAACCTTCTAATTGATCATCTCGACAACGAGATATATAAATATGGAAAGAAAAAAAGATTTAGAGTCCACGAAAAAGTGTATCTTGCAACAACATTATCTGGACCGTCTATTTTTAAGATTTTTATGTGTTTATAGATCTACTTGATTTGGACCATTTTTAGAGATTAAATTTCATAATTAGATATGAAAAATAGATTCTCAAGCCATCCTAAAATTTGTTTATATCAAAATTACAATTAAAAGTGCGCCTTAATTGGATTGTTTAAGATGAACAGTATACAAACCACACCCTTTAAAAAAAAAAAAAACACCACGGTGCTTAAAGTCGTATACCATCCATTGAAATGATTGAAGAGGATATGGAGGGAGATTCGGACAACAATACAAGGTCACATAATCAGGTATGGTGGTCCAATCTCTCTCCCTGAAGCGACCAAGATACTGATCTTGGGGCGTTTGATTCAGGGATCATTAACGGTCCTGCACATGGTTATGTCCTTGGTAGGGTAAGATAATTCCCCGTTATAGGGGGGAAGATAAATGCATTTGATATCCAGTTTTTTACTTAAAAGATATCAATGAAAGAGGTAAATTACCTTGTAAAATCATTAAGGGCGTGTTTGTTTTGGTGGAATTTTTGGGTAGTGGGAGATCCAAATTCTACCAAATAGGCTCCCATGTTTATCCCAAGCTCGTGGAAGCTGTAAGATGGAACCCACAACATTACATGAGCTAGCAAAAACATCTTTTGATCTTTATTTAGGGCTTGTTTAATAACAGGAACTATCTTCCTGGAAGTGGGAACTTATTAATACTGTTCATGTTTCGTATTTGATAAAAAATTGGAAGTTCAAATGGTAACTTCACTGTATTGTTCATCGTCCTATCTTGCATGTTAAAAAAGTTCCGACTTAAAGGATGGAACTTGAAATTGGAACTTCGTTTTAAAACTTCACCCCTGAACCCTAGTTCTTCTTCTTCTCTTCTCTTTGTTCCCATATTCCCATCTTCAGCTGCTAAGCACCCCTCTCTTCACAGCATGACCCCTCTCTTATGTTCTTCGCGTTCAGCCGCTGAGCCACCCCTCTCTTTGCAGCACACCACTATCTTAGGCAGACTCCTCTCTTCACACGCAACCCTCGCTTGGGTTTACTCAGTTTTTCTAATCCTTGCTATTGATCTTGAGATATGTTGTTGACTCTTATTCTCTCTGTGTTATTGATCTCTGTACTTGTTCTGGAGCTCTTGAAGCAAAGAGCTCTTATTCTCTCTGTGTTTGTTCTTGAGCTCTTGAAGCAAAGAGCTCTTATTCTTTCTGTCTTATTGATCTTGAGGTATGCTATTGACTTTGATTTTCATCATATTTCTCTATATCTCTTCTTTGAGCTCTGATCCTTCCTATTGAGCTCTAATCTGCGTTCTTCATCTTTCTCAAGGTATTTGCCCCCGACTACCCTAACCATAGCGAATAGCATTGATGTGTTTTATGTAATAAAATAAGAGTGAATAGCATACATTTTATTTCTGATTTTACAGATTTTTCGCAATAGCCCCATAGATCAAAGCTCAGTCACAAAAAAAAAATAGAGCTCAGTTATAAACTAATTATTCAAACAGTTTGTAATAAAATCTTAGTCCTTTTTTTTTTTTGTGTTTATTTGTTGATGTGTTTATTTGTTGATTTTACAGATTTTTTGCAACAGCCCAATAGATCAGAGCTCAGATGCAAAAAAAAATAGAGCTCAGTTACAAACTGATTATTTAAACAGTTTGTAATAAAATCTAAGTCCTTTTTTTTTTTTTGTTTATTTGGAGATTTTAAAGATTTTTCGCAATAGCCCAATAGATCAGAGCTCAGTTACAAAAAAAATACAGCTCCGTTATAAACTGATTATTCAAACAGTTTGTAATAAAATCTGAGTCCCCTTTTGCTGTTTATTTAGGAGATTTTAAAGATTTTTCGCAATAGCCCAATAGATCAGAGCTCAGTTCAAAAAAAATACAGCTCCGTTATAAACTGATTATTCAAACAGTTTGTAATAAAATCTGAGTCCCCTTTTGCTGTTTATTTAGCGATTTTACAGATTTTTTGCAACAGCCCAACAGATAAGAGCTCAGCTGCAAAAAAAATAGAGCTCAGCTACAAACTGATTATTTAAACAGTTTGTAATAAAATCTTAGTCCTTTTTTTTTCGTGTGTGTGTGTGTTTATTTGGCAATTCTACCAATTTTTCGCAACAACCCAATAGATTAGAGCTCAGTTACCAAAAAAATAGAGCTCAGTTACAAACTGATTATTCAAACAGTTTGTAATAAAATCTGAGTCCTTTTTTTTTTGTGTTTATTTGGCGATTTTACAAATTTTTCAAAACAACCCAATAGATCAGAGCTCAGTTACAAACTGATTATTCAAACAGTTTTTAATAAAATCCGAGTCTTTAGTTTTTTGTTTATTTGACGATTTTACAGATTTTTCGCAACAGCCCAATAGATCATAGCTTAGTTACAAAAAAAATAGAGCTCAGTTACAAACTGATTATTCAAACAGTTTGTAATAAAATATGAGTCCTTTTTTTTTGTGTGTGTTTATTTGGCAATTTTACAGATTTTTTGCAGCAGCCCAATAGATCAGGGCCCAGTTACAAAAAAAATAGAGCTCAGTTTCAAACTGATTATTCCAACAGTATGTAATAAAATATAAGTCCTTTTTTTTTGTGTTTATTTGGCGATTTTACATATTTTTTGCAATAGCCAAATAAGATCAGAGCTCAGTTATAAAAATAATAGAGCTCAGTTACAAACTGATTATTTAAACAATTTGTAATAAAATCTGAGTCCTTTTTTTGTGTTTATTTGGTGATTTTACAGGTTTTTCACAACAGCCCAATAGATCAGAGCTCAGTTACAATAAAGATAGAGCTCAGTTATAAACTGATTACTCAAACAGTTTGTACTAAAATATGGGTCCTTTTTTTTTTGTGTTTATTTCGCTTATTGGGTTAGTCAGCATAGATTTTGATGAGTTGATTGAGATTTTTCTTAGTTGCAAGGGTGTGAGCTCCTTCTCCTGAGCCCCATTTTCAAACATTGGGTAAAACAAAGTGATTCGGTCTTGTTAAATTTGTTAATAGATTGCATCTTACTTGAGTTAGGCATTTCATGTTTTTCTTCTTGGCATATTTTGAGTTAATTTGCAGCATGTGTACTAAAATTAAAGGTTCTTGGTATGATTGGCGTGATTGTATCTTACTGAGTTATTTTGAGTTCCTTTTTGGCATGATTGCATCTTAGTGGGTGATTAGAGGTTCTTGGTGTTCACTTTCATCTTTTTTTTTTCTTTTTCCTATTCATTCTGGTAAAGTGGCCAAATAAGGATTCTATTTACGGTGACTTTAGTTCGCATCTTTTGATTAAATAGATTGAATATACGATTGGTTTCAGGAAGATGGCAGTCTGATATATTTTTAATTGGTTTCTACGAGTTTTGTATTTCTTGGTTCTTGGTTATTTGAGCAGTTTTAGTTATTTCAATTTCTTCTTATTTAATATTTTTGTTACTGATCTATAGTTTTTCTCACTGAAGTTTATCATATTCGTCCTTTTGCTTTTCAACTTCTGGAATTTGCTTTTTTGAGTCATTCCAACAATGACTTCAGCAAAGTGTTAACAAAACAAAGAGATAAAAATACTGAAAAGCAACAAATGAATGCAACTTGTGGCTAGTTTTTATATTTTTTCTCAATGCATATGATGTGGGAGTTTTTTGTATTAGTAGATAACTTTGGGAATATTACTTTTTTGTTATTTTTTATGTTTGGGTTTGTTGAATTTTACTTAGCTCCAATTATAAATGTTGTAGCTATCATGTTCTTTTTGTTACCTTTTTTTTTTAATGAATAATTCTTATGGGTTCATGAAATCTGATATATTTTTTCTAAGATATACAACTATGATGTGGGTTTGTTTATATCTTTTTATGCAAACAAGATGTGCATGAATTACCAACATTTTCATTTTCTTATTACTTTTGGTTATTTTTGTATTTGGGTTTTTTACTATTTTCTCTGTGATATAGTGCTAATCTTGCTTCTTATTTGTGAATAAAATATTGAATTTTACTAGAATTGAGAATAATCTTGCTTACTTTTTTGTGATTTTTGTTTTTGGGTTTGTTTAGTTTTACTTAGCTCCAACTATGAATGTTGTACCTACCATGCTCATTTTGTTACCTTTCTTTTTTTAAGAATAATACTTATGGGTTCATGAAATCTGATATATTTTTTGTAAGATACACAGCTATGATGTGGGGTTTGTTTATATCTTTTATGCAAACAAGAAATGCATGAATTACCAATACTTTCATTTTTTTATTACAGCTAATGATGTGGGCATTTTCAATTATGAATGGGCTGGTTTTGTACATGGTTATATATGGATGTATGAATTGTGAATGTTGCTTGACATGCATCATAAATATCTTAGTAGATAACATACAAATGTTGTGTGCCATTATAATCTTAGAGAGAGAGAGAGAGAGTGAGAGAGAGAGAGATAACACACAAATATTGTGTGCATGACTTGTGAATGACGTATATTTTTGAATTGTTAATGACGTATATCTTTTAGGTTGGGATATGGATGCATCAGTGGTGACTGTAAGTAGTGCTCAAGTTATTGTTGTATGGGTTGATTTCTTACTGCTTGCATTATGCATGTGTGTTTGAATATGCTGATTTCTTACTGCTTACATTTTCAATTATGTATGTTTAAACTATTACAGGTTATTGTTGAATGGGCTGGTTATATATGGATGCATGAATTGTGAATGTTGCTTGACATGCATCACAAATGCCTTAATAGATAACATATAAATGTTGTGTGCCATTATGATCTTAGCGAGAGAGAGAGAGAGAGAGAGAGAGAGAGAGAGAGAGAGAGAGAGAGAGAGAGAGAGAGAGAGAGAGAGAGAGAGAGAG